GATGCGTCCTCTTCCCCTCTCTGCACCTGGTGAGTGAGAAGGGGCCAATCTCATCTTTACTTCCTAAGGTCTTCGCCCTTAGAAATGCCTTACTAGACACGTTATTAGGGTTCTTCATCCTTTATACTTTGTTATCAAACAGTCTATAAAAGATCTCTACTCCTATCTTATCTCTATAATTTCCTTACTTATATTCTAAATCCATAGACACCAACACTAGGGACCACCGCGTTACGTCTCGCCGTCCGGTGTCCCTACCCTAGTATGCCAACCGCGTTACGTCTCGTCGTCCGGTTGCATACCCAAACTCGGCAATGGCACTGCGTTACGTCTCATTGTCCAGTCCATGCCCGGTCAACTACTACATTACGTCTCGCCGTCCAGTAGTGACCCAACCGCCCGGGGGTTCATCTTACCATTACCATACATAATACAACCATACATTCATACATAGCACAATGCGTGCCTCCACCCTTACAGGCGGTGGGATGCCTCACACTCATACCGCGCATTACTCAAAAATTAACTAAATAATAACTTGAACGAAAAAGCATAAACTAAAAGACCTACGAAAGAAATTTTACCCCCTTTACACTCACCTCGAAAAGATGACTCCTCGATTCTTTTGAATCACTAGAACATCCTCTCCTAAAAAATCTAGCCCTCGAGCCTCGCTCCAAAGGTCCTTCAACCCCATTTAAAATTTTTCTTGAAGTAATCCCTTCAAAACCGACCATTTTTCCTATTTATTTTTGTCTTGTATGAATTTTTCATCTAACTTGAACAAATACCAAGTAAAATTATCAAACCCCTGAAAGTCCATCGGCAAGATTTTTATTTAATTAAAATGAACATTCGGCCAATTTCTAACAATAGTAATACATCTTCAAATATCCCCAAATTAAATCACAACCATCTACAAGACCTCGTTCAATTTATAAAATTGTTAAACCTAGAAATCAACACCCACAGAGGCTCGAAACAATTGAAACATCCAAAAATACATTTATGGAAATTTCCAGCAGATTTAGTGACACCCAAAATCTGTCACTAAAAGCCTGTAAAGTCTGTTGCTAAAAATCCAGAATTGCACCCTCACGTAAAATCCCAAAAGTAATCGACCTAAATCAAAGGGATTGAGTTCCCTTACCTCTAGAACGTGCCTAGGACTAGATTGGATGACTCGGGACATTGATCTCCTCGTTGATTAATGTTCAAACCCTCAAACCTCATTACAAACACTATAGCAGAAAAAATACGAGTTTCGGATTAGACTATCGATGAATCGAGCTCTAAAATGAGAGGGCTAACATGATCCTTACCACCAAACACCTGCACGTGAGTCCGATCGTAGAGATGGGCGGGGAAAAGGGACGAGGAAAGAATTGCTTCGCTGGGGTTGGTGTTCGGCTTCTTCACTCGGCGGCTGGGGAGGAAAAAATTATGAGGAGGGGGATTTTTGGGGATAAGGGGTTTTAGGGCGGGGAATTGAGATGGGGAGTGGGTTTTTGTTGCTGGGTAAAAGAGGAAGGTTAAATGAGGGCGCTCGGCCCTCTTTGGCCCGCTTAATTTTTGTTTCTTTAACAATAATAATAATAATAGTTATAACTATTTTTATTATTGCTAATCCGTGGTTGCAACTCTTAGTACATAACCGTTAATCCAACCGATCACGTATTAAGGTCGAATCTAAACCAAAAGCTCGGAGTGTTACAGGAACGACGTTGTGTGAAGCAATCTTATGATGTAGCGGCTTACAACATGCAATGGGTAGGGGATGTGAAGATCATCACTGTCAAAGTTACAAAGGAATGGTAGCTTATGCTAGAGGAGGCACAATTCGTCAGGAAATCCGATAGCTGCGGAGGCAGCAGTCCATGATTTACCGTGCACTTTGTAGAGAGACAGAATAATAGGGTAGTTCATGATGTGGCTAATAATGTCATCTTTTTGTCTCCGCTTATATTAAACACCTTTGATTTTTGCACTTCGCTCCGATTGAAGCTTTGAACATTGTATCTTTAAATTTTGATCATACAATCGTCTTTGGTTAAAAGATGGTGGAATGGAGCTATAGAGGGGGTACTGGAAGGCCATTCTTTGCTAGGAAAGTCAAATTTGACTCAGTGCTCTGTACGGAGGGGAGAGCGGGGAAAAAATAGATGTGAAAAGAGGGGGGGGGGGGGAACATGTTTTATGTGGAGAGCCGGAGATAGTAGTGAGTGTCACACTATCATTCAATAGAGGTTATGTTGCTAACAACTAATTTGTTATCTTGATACTAATACTAGCTCCCGCCAATAAGAACATCTAGTTTTCATGTTTTTTATTTTTATTTTCAAGGGATTGACCACAATTAATGTGGATCTATAAAGGATGGACACATGTCATTATTAGTTATTAGAGGGACAGACGTGTAGGAATGGCAATGGGCAGTAATACGACCCTAGGGGGGTTGTATGTGTTCAGAATGCATAGCTAACGATTCAATCGAAAGGATCGATTGAATTCGAATCAAGAACAAAGTGTTCTTAATACGAACTTGGATTAACGGAACCAAAAGGACGGTTCCACACCTAGGGAACGCTCAATTGGATTAAAGGGTAGTTGCTCGACCACGATTAAAGGTACTATTCAATCGCTCCTGTTTATTTTCGGTTAATTACAATCTGTCCTCCTTAGGGTATGATGCTGCTAGTATATATATGTTATGCTAGTCATGATCTAAACCTAAGGATTTGGTGCCCGAGAATAAGATTGACTCCGAGAGATTTCTCCCTCTTCATGGATTAGTCTCAACGATACTCGTTGAGGATACCAAGTAAATCCCGTGTTTGTTTATGTTTGATTTGATATTTTGACATCGTATTAGAGCCTTGGATGTTTTGATCTTGTTGTGGCTGCGTTGGGCTCTTGTTCTAGGACTGATGCTCGTCTTTGTTCCTCGCTCCTGCTTGTCATCTTAGGGTTTTCTCCTTCAGCCTTGGTTTCCTGCCTGCCTCTTCTCGATGGATCCTGTGAAGACTGACTCTGTGGCCATCAAGTTTAATGTCCGAAACTTCCCTCTCTGGGAGTTTCAGTTTAGGGTGTTTGTTCAAGGCCGCCGCTTGCTGCCCATCCTCGATGGCTTATCTCCGAAACCTGCGGCCACCGCTCCTGCTCGGGAGAAAGACAAATGGGCTATCCAGAACGCGCAGGTTGTCACTTGGATTCATACTTCGGGAGAAAGACAAATGTGGAAGCACCTCACCGAACTGCATTCTCAAACTAGCGCTCCTCGTAAGTTTGAGTTAGAGGTCGACATCGCTCGTCTCCACCAGGGTGACTTGGATGTTCGATCGTATTACCAGGCGCTCGCCAGCTTATGGACTGAGCATCTTGTCATGGCTTCCTCAATTCCGGCTACTACTTCGCCGACGTGGTGAAAGAGAGGGCCAGCTCCCGCCTGATGTATTTCTTGATGAATCTGCGGGCTGAATCTGAGAGTGTTAGGGCCTCGTTACTCCACCGGAATGTTTCCACTATTGAGGAAGTCTTGGGGGAGCTTATCCGCGAGGAAACTCGCTTGCAAAGTCAAGCAAAGGTTGATCTCCATTCCTCGGACTCTTCTGCTGCTGTGTTTTCCGTGACTTCAGCTGGCTCGACTGTTGTGCCTTCCTCTGCTGCTATTGAGTCAAATTCAACTTTTGCTGGTACGGATCATCCTCGGTTTCATTGTACATCTGCGGGCGAGATCATCTACCACTTCTGCCGTGAACTAGCGCACATTCAGAATCGCTGTCCGAAGAGGATTGCGTGTAACTATTTCAAGAAGGAGGGGCATGTGATCGTTGATTGCCCAATCCTGGCACGGCGTGGTCGTTCACGTTCGTCCGGATTGACTGGCGTTTCTGCACCTTCTCCTCATCCAGCTGCTGCCTACGCCACAGTTCCTGCTGCGGCTTCACTTCCTGATTCGGCTCTGTCACGCGATTCTCTTCGTCAGCTTATACAGGAGGTTCTAAAGGAGACTCTTCCTTTGGTTTTGGGTTCTGTATTCACCAATGGTATGCTTTCTACTCCTTCTTCTTCTTGGCACTTAGATTCGACGACATTTAATCACATGATTAGTCATTGCTCTTCTTTTCGTGATATTAAGCCCACTTCGGCAATTCGGTTACAAGTGGCAGATGGGAAGTGTTTACGTGCCACTGCATTGGTGATATTGTTCAGCCTGGGGTTTCTCTTTCCGATACTTTATATGTTCCTGGTCTTGTTCCTAGTTTGGTCTCGGTTGGTTAGATGGGTGTTCTATTATTTTTGATTCGACTGGTTGTGTTGTACAAGACACGACCTCGGGGGGAGGTGATCGGCCGCGGGACTAAGAAAGACAGAGTGTACATCTTGGATGCTTACTCATGAGCTTGTTTGTCCAGATTTCATGGGCTGCATGGCGTCAGGGAGGCTGTCGTGGAATTGAAGGGTCCAATTGTTCCTATTGATTATTATTTTTTGTTAAACTTTCCAGTTGGGATCTTTGGCATCGTCGTTTGGGTCATCCCCATTCGGCTCCATTATCAGATATGTTTAAGAATAAGTTCTTATCGGGTTCTCTTTCTTCTACGGATTCCAGAGATTGTGTTCATTGTATTGAAGCAAAACTCTCGCAACATTCTTTTAGTTCAAGTACTACGAATTATTCGGAGCCTTTTGCTTTAGTTCATACTGATTTATGGGGTCCCTCTCATGTCACCTCTCGGGTTGGTTATCGGTATTTTGCTCTCTTCGTGGATCATGCTACTCGCTATACTTGGGTTTACTTTCTACGCCACAAATTTGATTTGCTTGCTGCAGCTAAAGAATTTTTTGCTATGGTTCAGAATCAGTTTGGCCGCACAGTCCAGATTCTTCGTTCTCATCCTGGAGGGGAATTCACGTCTGGTCCTCTTCAGGAAGTGTTGCGCGCGTGATGACTTGATATATACACATGTTTTTATCCACCATTCTTACACCGTTTGAGTCGTATTTTTCTTGTTTTATGTCGTTTCACGCTAGGTTGTTTTTGTTTGTGATATATTAGGTCCTAGTACGTGAATGAAGGTTTGGGAACGATTTCGGGGTCGATTGGATGAAGATTGGACGTTTGGCGAGAAGCTGAGGAAGCCACACGAACATGCCTAAAAACCCACACGGCCGTGTGACCTGGCCGTGTGACACCAAATTGCATGGGCAAGCCACACTGGCCGTGTAGGGGACCCCTTGTGGCCGTGTGAAAAGTCCAGGGAGCTCTGTCACGGACATAGACTTCCGAAGTCCGTGCGGCGTCTTGAGGTGCACTCATTCCTGAAGACCAGCCTCTCTGCATACGTATGCCAACTGGTTTCGCCCTGCCTTGGGCTCATCAGGGAGACGGCAATAGCCTCCGACCAGTTGTGCCTTCTCTTGCAACGATCCCTTTCATAGCCACATCTTGACTCGGCCAGATGCAATGCACAGGCAGACAATGCCTTATCGCTAATGTCTCCCCCTTTACCCTTCTCGTGGCAAGACAACCAGATGGCAGCGTTCTTCAGACGATCAACACGGTCACGACATTTCGGGTCGTGACATTCTCCACCACTCATAATGCAGCACGTCCTCGTGCTGGTGAAGAATGCTTCTCTCCACAGAATGTATTGCAACTCTCTCGAACCAATTGTGGGCATCCGCATACGATACCACCCTCTGACGGACAGGCTCCGGTCGCGTTCTCGCGCTAGCCTGTTGTGCCCCGCGCACCTATCGCTTCGCCCCCTCGACATCAACCTTCACTCTTTGCTTCTGTTGCGCAAGTACCTCAGTCGACCTTCACCCTACGCTACTCACAGCGTTTGTACCTCAATCGACCTTCACCCTACGCTCTCGCTAGCGTTAGTTCCTCGGTTGAACGGCATTCTCGGCCGCTGCATCTTCAGCCTGTTGAGGTCCCCCACAACGGCGCAACACATGTGAATCTGCGTCCGGACCGCCTGATATGCACACCTAGGACCGCCTCTCATTCGGGCATAGGGTTGGCCCATACACGACCTATGCCGTACTAAGAGAGGAACTAGGCTCTTCAGCCTAACCAGGCTCTGATACCACTTGTCACGGACATAGACTTCCGAAGTCCGTGCGGCGTCTTGAGGTGCACTCATTCCTCAAGACCAGCCTCTCTGCATACGCATGCTAACTGGTTTCGCCCTGCCTTGGGCTCATCAGGGAGACGGCAATAGCCTCCGACCAGTTGTGCCTTCTCTTGCAACGATCCCTTTCATAGCCACATCTTGACTCGGCCGGATGCGATGCACAGGCAAACAACGTCTTATCGCTAATGTCGCCCCCTTTACCCTTCTCATGGCAAGACAACCAGATGGCAGCATTCTTCAGACGATCAACACGGTCACGACATTTCGGGTCGTGACATTTTGTCACGGACATAGACTTCCGAAGTCCGTGCGGCGTCTTGAGGTGCACTCATTCCTCAAGACCAACCTCTCTGCATACGCATGCCAACTGGTTTCGCCCTGCCTTGGGCTCATCAGGGAGATGGCAATAGCCTCCGACCAGTTGTGCCTTCTCTTGCATCGATCCCTTTCATAGCCACATCTTGACTCGGCCAGATGCGATGCACAGGCAGACAAAGCCTTATCGCTAATGTCGCCCCCTTTACCCTTCTCATGGCAAGACAACCAGATGGCAGCATTCTTCAGACGATCAACACGGTCACGACATTTCGGGTCGTGACATTCTCCACCACTCATAATGCAGCACGTCCTCGTGCTGGTGAAGAATGCTTCTCTCCGCAGCATGTATTGCAACTCTCTCGAACCGATTGTGGGCATCCGCATACGATACCATCCTCTGACTGACAGGCTCCGGTCGCGTATCTCGCGCTAGCCTGCTGTGCCCGCGCACATACCGCTTCGCCCTCGACATTAACCTTCACTCTTTGCTTCTGCTGCGCTAGTACCTCAGTCGACCTTCACGCTACGCTACTCCCAGCGTTTGTACCTCAATCGACCTTCACCCTACGCTCTCGCTAGCGTTAGTTCCTCGGTTGAACGGCATTCTCGGCCGCTGCATCTTCAGCCTGTCGAGGTCCCCCACAACGGCGCAACACATGTAAATCTGCGTCCGGACCGCCTGATATGCTCACCAAGGACCGCCTCTCATTCGGGCATAGGGTCGGCCCATACACGACCTATGCCGTACTGAGAGAGGAACCAGGCTCTTCAGCCTAACCAGGCTCTGATACCACTTGTCACGGACATAGACTTCCGAAGTCCGTGCGGCGTCTTGAGGTGCACTCATTCCTCAAGACCAGCCTCTCTGCATACGCATGCCAACTGGTTTCGCCCTGCCTTGGGCTCATCAGGGAGACGGCAATAGCCTCCGACCAGTTGTGCCTTCTCTTGCAACGATCCCTTTCATAGCCACATCTTGACTCGGCCAGATGCGATGCACAGGCAGACAACGCCTTATCGCTAATGTCGCCCCCTTTACCCTTCTCGTGGCAAGACAACTAGATGGCAGCGTTCTTCAGACGATCAACAAGGTCACGACATTTCGGGTCGTGACAGCTCACAGGGGAAGCCTGGAAATCCACACGGTCGTGTGGTTTTGGCCGTGTAGCATACCTCAAGCAACTTAAGTGAAACGCGGCGTTTTGCACACTCACACGGGCAGCTGCGAAAGCCACACGGCCGTGTGTTCGGGAATTTCTTGGTTTTAACCCAATTTCGAGCCAAAGGAGAGGGAATCGAATTTTGGGAACAAAAACAGAGCCCTAGAGAGAGAAAGTGCGAAGAACACATCCTAGAAGTGATTTTGGAGCTGGGTTTCATCAATCGAGCTTGGAGATCAACATAGGAGTGAAGATTGACATCCCAGAGCAGATTCTTCCCATTGTTATGAGTATGACTACTTTGTATTCTGTTTCCCTCTCTCTCTATGGAGTAGAACTTCCTCTCACTTGGGTATGAAGAACCCTAGTTCCATGTGTTAGGAATCTTGATTGTAATTATATTTGGATTGTGATGTTGCTTGATTATAATCGATTGAAGTGTTTTGATTGAGTCAATTGAAGTCTGATCATCTTTTATTGATTTTTGCTGCAACCTGAGATAGATAGAATCTGATTAGGTTATTAGAGCTTCTTCAATCGGTAGTAGTGAATCGATTATACGAGAGTTAGTCGATTCACTGCTTTGTACTGGAATCTAATTCCAGTAGTGGAGTTCTGTGTTCATTGCCTCAGCGTTCTATCCCGGTGAAGACTAGTCGTCTGCCGGGTAGTTTTATTGACAGGGCTTGGGCAGCTTAAGAGATTCCAAGCTACTGTCGGATCTTCCGCAGTATAATTAGCAGTAAAGCAACCACAAGTAATTACAACTGAGACCTAACTAAGGATCTAGGGGGACTCATTCCCGGGTGACTCTTCCTTTGCTTCAGAAAACCGAACCATTTCCTGCTTTCTTACTGCTTTCAATTAAATCAACAATTACTCAACTTAGTTTGCAAGATAACAGATATACACGGAGTAGGCAGTAGATCTAGACCCCGGGTTGACAATTAGAGCTTGCCTGTTACTGCATTTCCAGACTGCGATTACACTTGGTCGCAGTTTGGTGTTGTGTTTTAGCGCGTCAAGTTTCTGGCGCCGTTGCCAGGGACCCTCTAGGTTATTGGGGAAACGTGAGTTTGTTACTCTAGCTTTTTCTTTACTGCATTTTATATCTTCCACCTGTGTGCCTTCACGGGTTGCTTTTGCTGATTGTGTGCAGGTAGTGCATGACCCGTAGCCAGTCGGGAGATTTACTACTATTAGGCCAAGAACTTGAACGAACGTGTTGGAACTTCAAGCGGGCTCTAAAGGCGCGACTGGCTGCGGAGGAGGCCTTAGCACAGGTGCAAATCACCGAGGAGGAAGAGATGGGTGACCCATAGGACCATGATGTGGTCCTTCCCGAGGAGCAAACCATGGGGTACTACTGGACCGCCAGAGCCGCGGACATGAGGTCGCCCATTCAGCATCCTCAAGTTCCAGCCAACAACTTCGAGGTGAGCACCTCGGTCATCACTATGTTGCGTGGCTCGGTAGCATTCCGTGTCAAAGAGGGGGAGTGCCCCCGATCACATCTGAGGCAATTCCACGAGCTCATCGATGGAATCAAGATAAATGGGGTCCCAGCCGATGCCATCCAGCTGAGGTACTTCCCATTCACTTTGGAGGGACGGGCCAAGGAATGGCTGGACACCAGGCCCCCTGGATCGATCACCATGTTCGCCAACCTGGCGGACAAGTTCCTCACCCTCTATCATCCTCCGTTAAAAACGGCGGACTTGCAGAAGCAGATCACCCACTGTGCCCAGGATGAAGATGAGACCATCCAGGACGCATGGGAGAGATACACCATTCTCTTCCTGAGGTGTCCCAATCATGGTTTCAATGATGCTTTCAAGGTGGGCACCTTCTACCACGCCCTCTTCCCAGAGGACAAGCAGCTGATTGATTCGGTTTGTGTCAGGAACATGCTGACCAAGACGTCGCTGCAGTTGAATAAGCTCTTTGAGGAGATGGCAGAGAAAGGGTATGATTGGGGCACTGCTAGGAGGTCGATGCGAGCACCAAGCCGAGGTGTACATGCTGTGGGCACCCACTCTTCTGATTTGCTGCAGGTTGTGTCTAAACTGGTCTCAACCATCGATCGGAATGGGATGGTTCCGGGGACAGGGTAGCAGCCGGCAATGCGTTGCTAGTGGTGCGAGAGCTCCCATCATACTATAGAGGAGTGCCAGGCCATGCGTGAGTCCAGTACACCCCAGGAGCAGGTAAACTTCATCAACAATGTCCGGTACAACGACCCATACAGTAACACCTACAATGAGGGATAGCGCCAACATCCAAATATCTCATGGAGTGGCAACAGCAATCCGAAGCCACCTGGCTTCCAAGCTCCTGCAACTAATTTTCCAAACCAGAGGCAGTCATACCAGCCTCGCCCAGGCCAGATGTAGCAACAACAACCACTTTATCAGCCTAGACAGGGGCAGGCTTTTCAACAGTCCCCACAGCAGCAGTACCTGCATCCTGGTGCATCTCCATCATTCCTAGCACTGGACGATCCCGTGTCAGAACTGAGGGATCTAGTGACTACCTTGGCCACCACTAGTACCCAAAAGTTCAACAAATTGTAGCAATTCATGGAAGTGGTTGCAGGAAAGTTCATGGAGATTGAAGTTGGCCAGAGAAACCAGCAGGCACTCCTGCAAGATATGGACACCAAGATCGGGCACCTGGCAGATGCCCTTGCTTCCAGACCAGGTGGCACACTTCCTGGCCAACCCCTACCTGATCCTAGAAATCATAAGGAGGGGTTGCACCCATTATGCTGAGAAGTGGAACCGTGACTGCGGATGCACCGTAGAAGAGTGCCAAGAAGGTGACCCAGATCACCCCATAGCCAGAAGAAGACCTGGTGATGGAAAAGGAGCCAGAGGAACAAGCTCCAAAGCCACAACCAGTAGTGACTGAATATAAGCCTAAGCTCCCTTTTCCCACCAGGATTTACAAAGACAGGTTGGAGGCAGAGTTTGGCAACTTCTCGTCCATACTTAGCAAGCTGCATGTCCAAGTGCCCTTCATGGAGGCACTATCTCTAATGCCTAAGTATGCGAAGTTCCAGAAGGAGCTTCTCTCGAATAAGTGGAGGCTGAGCGAGCTAGCCACTGTGGAGCTCAGCGAGGAGTGCTCGGCCATTCTGCAGAACAAGCTTGCGCAGATGCAGAAGGACCCAGGTAGTTTTACTATCCCGTGCTCTATAGGTAAATTTTATGTAGAGAGATCCTTGGCGGATCTAGGTTCTAGTATTAATGTGATACCATATAAATTGTTCAAGAAACTAGGCCTAGGTGAACCCAGTGCAACTAGGATGAGTATTCAACTAGCTGACCGATCTATAGTTCATCCTAGGGGCATAGTGAAAGACCTTCTGGTTAAGGTTGGCGATTCTTTTATCCTGTGGATTTTGTTGTCTTGGACATCAATGAAGGCACAGAAGTGCCCCTTATACTAGGAAGGCCTTTCTTGGCCACCGCCAAGGCTCTCATAGATGTGCATGATGAGACCTTAGTCTTGAGGGATGGCGAGGAGCAAATAACATTTTCCATTGCTAATACTCTCCCTGCTTCATCGCCTTTGCATGCGGTTTCTCACCAGAGCACGAGTCTGTCGTGTATCCTTTTATGCTTCCCATTTTTCAGGATCCCTCTCACATATCTTCGCCGCCACTCCTGTCCACTCCGTTACCAAAAGAAAAGATCAAGGAGGAGTGGCCGCCGAAACTGCAGGTAGCTAAGCCTGCTGAAAAGGAAGCAGGAGACCACTATGAGCCGGTCCCGCCTCCTGAGCCTCGACCGCCTTGGCCATCCAAGTATTCACTCGCTTGCATCCTGCCTGATGGCCAGGTTGAGTTGACGAGTGCTGGTGGTCACACCCGTCGAGTGCATGGCCACCACCTGAAGTTGTACCTCAAGAGCGAGGTGGATCCGCTCTTGAAGGCATCTGTTCCTACACCTTTCTAAGCATCCACCCTACTGGCGTCCAACTAAACAACGGTAAAGAAGCGCTTGTGGGGAGGAAACCCCACCAAGGTTTGTTTTTCTTTCGTTTGTTTTTCGGTTTGTTCACTTGGAACTATGGTTTCTATTACCCAGTGTGTTTTGATGATGCTAGCCCCGCTGACTGGTCCACTTCCAGTCCCCGGCAGTCTTTCCATCCGGTAACATCGTTCCCCTTCTCTTTCCCTCTGCTCCATTGAGGGCAATGTCATGCTTAAGTGTGGGGGGGGGGGGGTGCTTTGTATCGGTTGGAATCTATATATGTGTGCTTGGAGCCTAGTCCGCTGTCCAAATCTCGAGATTTGAGGGCTCCAAGTACCATTGTTTGCATGATCATATTGGCACTGTGATTTGATTGGTGAATCGAATGGTTTTCGAATTATTGCATGACGGCTTGATTGTAACTTGGACAACCTATGATGATGACTGAGACATGCAGTAGAATTGTGTAGGGGTTCAGTTTTTTCAACTGTTTGCGTACCAACTGTGACTTGGATTGATCACTTGCTCTTGACAGTCGTTTATGCGTCTAGTTCAGGGAATCAGAATGAGAGATAGAGCATATAGGTAGCCATGTGAGATTTGAGCCTGCTCGTTTATTTCTTGTGCGATAGTTCCCTCTTCCATGATGTGTAGCGTTCACGTTG